TTACATTAATTAATCTTTGACTATCTATAAAAATTAATAAAAAGTCTTTATCATAAGGTCTAATAAATTTAAAAATCGTATTTACAACAAAAATTAAAAAAAATTGATAAAAATTTCAAAGTAGTTTTATTTATATTTATATTTAGATCACATAAAATGATTTTATATAAATTTATTTATAATAATAAATTTTATAAAAATTATAATTTTAATTATTTATTCAAATCATTTATAATAAAATAAGATATTCTAAATAAATCAGTTATAGATTATAAAATCTAATTGATAATTTAGATAATAATTTTATTAATAATAAGAAAATTTTATTATTATTTATTATATATAATTTAATAATTTAATAATAATTTTTTTTTAAAATTCTTATTATAATTATCTTTATAGTATTAAATTTTTTAATTATAAATAATTTTATTAATTCTTTTTCTTTTAAATTTAAATTTATTAATTTAAAATATTTTCTAAATATAACAGTTAAATAAATCTAATATAAAATAATAAATTTGATAAATAAAGAAAATGAAATACTTAATTAATTTACTCTTATTGGTCAATCTTATTTTTATTAATATTATAAATAAAAGCTTTCTTAATATTATTATAAGAGAAAGTTTCAGTAATAAATCATATAATATTAAGAAAATTTTCTTAGTATGATTTTAAAAATTATATTAAAAAAATGTTATAAAATTAAAGATTTAGTAAAAATCTTTATTTTAAAAATTAATTATCTTTTAATAAAGTTATATTTTTATAAAATTTTTATAGATAGTCAAAGATTAATTAATGTAACACAAATTTTTTCAATTTGAAGAACCAATAAAAAAAAATAATATTTCAATAATTATTCCTTTATACAATCACACCTCTACAAAATCACAAATTTTGGAACCAATTGTGTGACTAGATAAAGGGCTGACTATATTAAATAGTATTACCGTCTGGAATCACTATATCTAAATGGTTAGGAATTAGCCACTCTACTCAAAGAAATAATTACTAGGAAATGGAAACCATTTTAAGTCCGGAGCGAAATTTTTTATTTAAAATAAATAAATTAATTTTTATTTTTGTTATTTTATTTTTGTTTTTTTTTTTTATTTACTGATCTTATCGTACACGCGGCGTGACAAACGGAAATCCTCACGTGATTATGTGTGTAACCATTAATTCGTAAAAGTATAATGTCCTACGCTTCGCTCCGGACAAGCGAATTTAATTTATCAAAATATAATTTGTCAAAACCATGTTGCTTATTATTTCATTTTAGCGAAATGTCTGTTCTTTGGTGAAAGTTTTCTTGAAAAACATAATTGATTAAAATTTTCATAACTTTATTTATTAATAGAAAGTAAATCTGAATTAAGAAAAAAATCATTTACTTTATTTTGTTAAAAACAAAGATGAAATCCATGTCGTGTCGCATTATACAAACCTCATTTATACAATAATCGATGATTGATGGTGTAACGCTTTCAATATTCAAGTTCTCAAAATCATTTCAAAGTTTATAAATTATTTTTCATTTTTAATTTTTAATAAGTTCAAAATGTACTTATACTTTCTATTCGTAAAGTGATCGAAATATTTTAATTTAATATAAAGATTTATAAAAACCAATTTTCTTTAAAACGAGATTATTTTTTAAAAAAAAAAATGTTTCTGTGTAACATCTAGGACTAATTTCAGTTTAATAAAGAAATATTCAAATCTAAAAAAAGTTAAATCAATTTACAATTATAACTATTTCTGGTAATCTATTTATAAACAAACCCTTTTAAGTTGTTATATATATTTTCATACTGTAATATTTGAATAAGAAAGATACCCCCATACTTCACCTTCTAGCGTACATATTTATTGTTGTAACAATTACTAAATTAGCCAAATGATTATTTAAATGGGGGTTTTTTTTTTTTCTCTCCTAAAAAAAAAACCTCTTTTTTTTTTTTTTTTTTTTTTAATTAAAAAAATAATAATTTATAAAAGACAATAATAATGAGTTCAATATCACAAATATTGACGAACAAATGTCTATGGTTCTTCATAGCATTTGTTATCGTATCCGACTTATTGTATACAGTATACTTTAATTTTGACGAAGAAGATTTAAAATTTCTTGATACTTTTGAGCAAGATAGGATAAACATACGACAAAGACCCGAAGATGGATTTGTTTTGGATACTGACCGAGTTATGCAGGAATGCAATATGAAGACTCGCTCAGTGGAATCATGTTTAAAATATCTCGATCTTAAAGAAGATGATTATACGATTACATTTCCGTTATCCTCCAAGAATTCAATAATCCCTCCGAAATGTAAGGAAAATGAACCACCGATGCTATTTCATGTATTTTGGCGTGGGATGATAACGGATAAGTTAGCGTTACAAATAAAAAGCTTCCTTTACACGCAACCCCTCACATGTTCAAAATTAAATGTGTGGTTACAAGACAGCGATACTGACATCAATTTGAACCCTTTTGCGGGGAATTTATATAAAAGATTTTCCCCTCGAAACGTTGAATTTAGAAGGTGGAATACTGATGAACAATTAAATTCCGATGATTTATATAAAGGTTGGAAGGAAATCATGGAGAAACATAGTTCTGTCGCTTTTAGTGATTTAGTTAGATTCGTCGTATTAAATAGGTATGGTGGTATGTACATGGATGGTGATGTGCTCTTCTTACGTGATATGCGTCCTTTATATCACTCGGGCTTGGATTTTTCATACAAGTGGAGCTTCAAAACCGAATATAATACCGCCGTGTTAAGACTTCATGCGAATGGTACAACAAGTCGAAAGATCATTTCACAAGCCATGTTAAACAAAATGAATTTCCACCCCTTCCAGATCAAGAAATATTTGATGGTCAACGCGAGGATTCCTTCGGATTCACCCTTGGCAAAATCCATATACAATTCACAACTGTATATGTACTCTGTTCCTTTATTTGATCCTCTTTGGCTAAAAAATGATAATAAACAAAAGAATATTTTGAAACCTAATCTTAGAGGGATGGATGATGTTTGGGATCCTAATTTAATTCCGAATGAATTTCCTGAGATTGAAAATTTAAGCTCGTATTCTCCTTTGGAATTAAGAAATGCTGATGATTTCTTTAGAGGGGCTTTCGCTTATCATTGGCATAATAATTGGTCTACAGATTTGAACCCTAATTGTTGGATGGGTGTCATGCAAACCGCTTATGACTCTTTCCTTAATGGTACTCAAACTAACATTTACGGTGAATACGTCAAATACTAAATTGGGATGGGCGTTAGATTAACCATTTTTTATCTTTAGAAAATTTTATGTAAAATTTATAGTTTTTTTTTTTTTAATTAATAATTCAAATGTACAAAACTTTTAAAAAAAATGTAATCAAAAAAAAAAAAAAAAAGGTATAATGATCGTTGGAAGAGCGTGAGAAATTTTCATGTTTAACTTGATCATAGAGTACTGTAAGAATTTGAAAATTTGAAAATTTAAATGAGTTTGCAAGTGGCTTGGATTCATTTTAATTTACAAATAGGTGAATAAATAAAATTTTATTTTACGTGTACTTTTTTCTTTTTTTTTTTTTTGATAATTTTTAAAATATATGTTAAATATATATATAAACATATATTTGTTTTTTTTTTAAAAAAATAAATAAAAAAAAAAGCTCCAACAATGTAAGTAATCCGCTTTAAATTATGAGCTCTAAAATTTCCAGGTATAATTATTATTCTTCGTCGCAGGAATTATATTGCCTAAACGGTTGATGTAATTAATTTTTTTTTTTTAGAAAAAATCTCATAAAAATGTTTGGAATCAACCTTTGATATTTATTATTTCGCCAAGAATTCTTTCCACGCGTGATTTATACCAAATTGTTGGATTATCCTAAATTCAAAATGTTAAAAATTAATGATACTTTGGTCAAATTTTTTTAATTAAGAAAATAAATTTTTACTTTGCATATCCGTTTCATATTTTTCCACTTAATTTCACACTGTTCATCATGATATTGGCATCGCAGGTAATCGGACGCCCCTTTCCAAAGCTTCTTTTTAACTTCTTTTACTTTACGACCACGGAATCTTAGTTTTCGGACCTCCTTCTCATTTGCTTCCAAATATGCAAGCAAAGATTGAATTGTTAAAACATCCCATTTACATGGAACTTTTTTTGTTGTTTTAGATTGGAGGCTTTCGCTTCCATTAGAAGATTCGCCTAGAAAAAGAAATCAAAAATGAAATTAATCCGACAAATAGGATGTTACACTTGGAAAAAAATTCTGTACAAGTACAATTTAATAAAATTTTAACGACACCCGATCTGACAAATAAATGCTTTAGAAAATCACCGAAATGTTTATTTTTATAAACTCGCCTTGCTCGGGAATAATAGTATTATTATCAACTTGGAAAGACATGATTTATCTTACAAACTATAAGTACGCCTATTGTAACAAATTTAATAAAAAAAAAAAAAAATTTTTTGAAAATGAATTTATTTAATGATGTATATAGTTAATGAAGTTAAAAATAATACTTTCCAAAGTGGAGATAAAGTGGTTATTTATGTAACTTTTTACATTTGGATTGGATTCAAACATAGAGGCTAATTCGAAGTATTGATTTGGATCATTAAATTTGTAATACGAAATCCTTAATCTGGTTTTTTTAAGGAAAAAGTAAAATATTTAGTAATTTGAGGTTATTAACCAAATTCATTGATTATACTTAAAAGGTAACTATCAGACACAGAGAATTTTGATCTTGAGAATAAAGCTTAGAATTTTTTTTTTGAATATTTTTTTATCGTACGTTCCAGTATTTATTAAAACAATTCTGAACAGGTCAGAATAATATCTTGCATTGCTTGAAAGGACAAAACGTTTGTCGAAGCCCGTGTCTCTTTAATATGTTCTAAATCGTTTGATATTTTATTCGTACAAGTATTAAAAGTGGACAATGATACCAAGACCCTTCAGTAATCTTTCGTTAAATATGATCACAAAAAAAAAAAAATTTTTTTTTTTTATAATGACAATAAAAGATATTGTTGACTCGAGTGTAAAAATCAAATGTGGAAATGATTTGTTGGGATTCCCTTTCAACAACTTTTTATATGGTATGAGATTGTTTGTCATACTGAATCCAATCCTTTGTCGATATTTGTGGTACTAGCAAATTAGAATTCAGAATCTTATAACACAAAGTAATATAAACGTTTTTGTTTATTAGGCAAATCTATCACGCGAGAAATCATGTACAATAAATAATTACATCATTAGATCTATGTCATGTGATATTAGTTATCTTTCCCGATATATAAAGTAATAATAAACTTTTTTTTTTAACGCGTTTTAATGCTTGCCAATGATCTTTTCAACTTCTAACTTATATGGACCATCCTAAATTAAACGGACATTTATAAATAATGATTAAAATTTTTTTTTTTGATTTTATTATTAATAAAAAATTTACCTTGGAATTCTTCTTAATATTTTTCCATTTAATCGCACATTGCTTGGCAGTATAATTGTAACCTTTACAAGATAACAAGATAGAAGCTTCCTTCCAGAGCTTCGTTTTAATATTACCACTACGACCACGTTTTGCTACTAGTTGCTTGATTTTCCACTTATTTTTTTCCAAAAATTTGAGTAATAGTTTCGTAGCCTCTTCCTTCCATTTACGGGAATCCCCTCCTACTATTATTATTATTATTATTTTAATAAAAAGGGTGTGATTAAAATCGAAAAATTTGATCGGACATACCAGTCCATTATTATCATACCTTGTTTGATTTGACCCAAATAATTATTTAAACAAAATTCAATACTTTTTTTATCTTTCTTGGAAAATTCTCGATCCGGGTTCTCATCGTTGTAGATTTTACAAATTACTTCATAAAGTTTCAGAGTAACTGGTTGTTTATAATAAAATTTATAAAAATTACTACTATATTGAATGGGATTATGAATATCAATGTTTAAACATTCGATTGTTTCGTCTAAGGTTAATATTACTTTTTTACAATAGATATGAACATCATTATAATAAAAGTTCAAGGGTTTGTTTGAATTATAATCTTGATAATAATTGAATACAATTCCTGGGGTAGCTTGTGAAGAAGGTACTACCATTTGCATAGCGATATCATACAAATTCTGGTGTTCATGAAACGTGTTAAATTCATTATCATGGGGTAAAATGATATCCTGCAAAGTATACGAATGAGATCCTTCGGTATGCGAGATTCGAGAATTCATAACGAATTTGCCCTAAAGCATGAATATTTATAGGAAAAAAAAAAATAAATTTTTTACTAAACGTAACCACAATTACTCGGAAAATAGTTTTGATTTTAAAGGAAGTCAAAAGAGATAAGTATTGAAAACAAAACGTATGACTCACGGGAAAATCTGTTTAACCGATAAGTTTTAAATTTCAACGCGATCTTGTTGATTCTCTCAAGCATTCTCAGATTAATAAGTAAATAAATCCAATCTAAACAACCGTTTATCCAACCATTCCATTTAATTCAATCCAAATGATTAAATTTTATTACTGTTGTTTGTTTTACCTTTTTGTCGGCTCATAAAACGCCATATTAGTGTTCTGATGAGATAAATGCTAATCCTTTACATACGCGGCTTTACGAAGTGTCTCAGAACAGCGCAAATATCTGATAAGAAAATTAAGGAGCTGAAAAGAAATTGTTCGCAGCCAATGATAAATTACTTTACATAATTTGAAATTTTGGTTCTACGCATACATAATCTGAAATATAACTAAAAACTCCTGATAATTGTATTAGAACATATTTTAGAATTTAGAATACGGACCAAGAAAACTCCAAAAAAAGCTAACAAAAGTTCTATTTTATGATTTAAATGAAAGTTTATGAATGGTCACAACAAATACATAAATCACACTTCTTCGATTTTATAAATTTTGGTTGTTCCGAAAACACCTTTCATGGGAGTATATAGTAAAGAGCGACTTTCGAAACACGGATATTATATTGCTTTACTTTGAATAATTTGTGAACGCATCATCTTGTGGCGAAAGTTTCAATTATCATTTGAATCTATTATTTATAATGTTTTTTGTTTTGGTTCATGTGAATTTTGAGCCATTAAGATGGAAATTAATCCCCTTGTTTAATTATTTCTCTTAAATTAAAGGAAGTGAACTCCGAAAAGCAAAAAAAGTAAAAATTCATCTTGTTCATCAAGTTGCACAACATATACTAATCGAGTAACACGAAAAAGATAAATTTTTTATCATGAAATATAATGCATCTTGCTTTATGGCGATTACCTTTTTCGTATGCATTGTCTTGCAATGTGATTAATTTTGTGCATTACTATATCAAATTTCATTAGGTTTAAAGATAATTTTCATTCTTTTAAAATTATAATTCTTCGGGTTTAACGAAATATTTCTGTTTCAGATCAAAGGATGCGACTGTGATACTAAAGATGGCAGCGATTTAAACGTTTATCCTTCATATAAATTCCATTAATATCAATAAAGCCTTTACTTTATTGTCATCATAAGAGAAATTTAATGAATTCCCATTTACATTCGGGTAATATTTGTCCGAAATAAAATAAAACCAAATCTCCATAAAAAAAAAAAAATTATTTATTTATTTATTTATTTATTTATCATTTATAATCATCATTTGAAACCATTCATTTGTTAAATTACCTAGCTCAAATCGAAAAAAAAGAGATATGACAAAAATAATTCAAATGATAATTTTTTTTATAAGGTCGCTATACCAATCAATACATTTTCGGAATTTATCAAAACTTTTTTTATCGTGATAATAAAAGATTGACTCAAAGTAAATTTAAAAATTAAATATTACTTGTGATTTTGAAAAAAGAATCACGATGAAGACCTGTTCAAAGTCACTCGATATTTTATTGTTAAATTGTTAAATTACAGTATTTTAATAAATAGTATGAATAATATGAATAATATGAATTATTTGAAAGAATTAATCGTTATATCCTACTAGGGTTGTGTTTTCGTTATATTCCATATAATAAGCTTGCAGAAAACTTTGAGAATCCGCTATCCAATAAGCGTTGCCTTAAAAAAAAAAAAAAAAAATTGAAATTTGTTCAAATTTAATTGTAAATATCATTATACTTACTATTACTAGTTTGATAATCTAAATCAGACACATCTGAATCAAACGAGTTTTGTCTTTTATTGCAACTATTATTAATTAGATGTTAGGTTTTTAAAAAATTAACCTCGTTAAATTCAAATTATCACTCATAAAACTAGTTGATACGCACCTAGACCTATTTCTGCCAAGCATTGCTGACACATGCATAGACCTATTTCCGCCAATGATTGCTTCAACTTTAGACAAAAAC